TGCATGACACAAGACACTTCCCTACTGATGTGCCCATTGCTATGAGTAACTCTCTCAGTTCAGATGAGGTTGAGTTAGAAGAAGTAGTGTGCACACATCCAGTCATTACACAGACCCCTCCAGTTTTCTCACGGTGTGGAAGAGCCATTAAAGGGCGGATAAAGAAAATGAGTCTGAATCAAAATGGTTGCGGGCAACAGTAAGCGAGGAGAGTCTCTTTCGCTGGGATGGTCCGCCAACCTCCTCGCCACTACTGGCAGACCGGGAGGTTTAAACGAACCGGACAATTGGCCAGAAAATGACCCGGAGAACCACAATAAATACAAAGTCGGGCTGTAATGCGCCGCTGACCCTCTTCAGGAGTCAGGCGAGTTCGACCTAACTGCATGGGCTCGGGCTCCTGAGAGGCTCGGGGCGGAGAAACTGCCGAGGGGGAAGCGGAGCCACCGAGGTGTCTAAGTGGTTGGCTCCTACGACCCCAATATCTCCTTCGAGACCGGATTCTGTGATCCAGTCGGATGGTCTGGCTAATTAATTCCTATAGAGTCCTAGGTTCTTCAAAAGTAGCCAGCTTATCCTTAATGTTTTCATTTAACGCGTTATGATATGCGCTCTTAAGCGCATCTGGGTTCCAGCCTGTCGCTGCAGCCTTGATGCGGATATTAACGGAAAACTCCGCCACAGTTCTATTTCCTTGTTTAATATTCCACAACTCTCTGGAATTAAATGACTGGTCAGCATCTTGACAAAACACCTGTCGGAACTCCTTTAAAAATTCATCAAATGAGCAGCCATAGCGTGCTGGATCTGGGAAACGAGCTTCGGCCCATAACAAAGCTTGTCCCGACAACGAGGACAGGACGTATGCAATCTTGGAGCTGTCGTAAGGGAAGCTTCTCGGGGAGTGATTGAACATTATCGAGCATTGAAGGAGAAAACCATTACATTTTCTCCGGTCACCTGCGAACCTTTCTGGCGTAGGTGGACGGACCTCAGAAAACGTGGATTGGATCTCCGGAGCTGGGTTTGGAGCAAGAGCTGAGTCAGAAGCTGGAGCTGGGTCTGAAACTGGAGCGGGATCTGGAGGAGAAGTTTGAGGGGCTGAACCTTGAAGGTAACGGGTTAATTCAGACAGTTGTTGGTTAGTTTCCGTTTGGATTCTACTTAACTCTCTTAATGCATTTTCATGGGTTTGCAATATAGATTGTTGTTCGGCTAAGGCTCTCCGGATTGCGTCTGCTGGGCTGATCTCGTGGCCTGAGTGTTCTGTCATGATGGGTTCAGTTTTTAACAAGCCCACATGCAGAACACAAGACAGGAGAGGTAGGACCAGTGTTAAATGATTTAATAATGATCACACAATTATCGGCGAGAATCAGGATGGTCTGGTCCAGGGGAAACGACAGCGACGACAACAATGGTTCACTATGAAGAAAGAGCTGAGTGGTGAGTTCAGGGGTTGTGGGAAGAAAGGAAATCCCTCTGGGAAAACCGGCTGATCTTACTTGTAGTAGATGAACGGAGTCTTGGAGGGGAAACAATGTATGTCCGGGGACTCGGTTCTTGGTGGGTCCAGGAACAACGGAGGAGTGCGGTGGGGAGCGGACAGGTAGGCTCAGGTGCAACGGAGAAACGGAGGAGTGGGACGGCCGCCCGCCATGGAGTCTGGGAGATTATCGCAAAACAACGGAGAGGTGAGTCTGGGAACTCGGGCAACCTGGGGGTACTTTCCACGGCGTCACGAGGATGGTTCATAAACCAGGAATTCAACCAGGATCTCATCAAGGGATCACCAAAAGGCAACGGAGCAAACAAATATAGTTACTAGAATGTTCAAGGACAACTAGAAACACAGAGACGGGCTCAGGGGGTTCAGAGGTACCGTGACTGGTTAACACTCAGGCGACGCTGGACTGGCGGCCAACTCCTTAAGTCTGCGTCGCTGATGAAGATGATCACGAACAGCTGCGGATGGTAATGCACCACACTCCAACCGGAACCTGTCGCCATCTGGTGGTAAATGGTGATAAGGGCGCACAGGAAATCCCACCACGCAGCCAGAACCCCGGAACATAACAAGTATGCATCCCAAGATTATCACCGGTGACCTGAACTATGGTACCATGAATTTCTTCTGTAAACATATTCACCTTAAATCTCTCAGTTACAAGTACTTTAATATCACTGACAAGTGGCTCAAGTATCAAATTAAAACCATAACGCTTGATGTCTTGAACATGGAAAAGAGCACACAAATGAATATTCATCAATGAAGAATTAAAGATTGGAGAAAGATTCCTTGATGTAAAGTATATAGCACCCAATTTGTGAATACCCTTTTTGGACCCCAAAGGATTTGCTGTTTCAGAGTCATCATAAAATAGTTGTATTTGCAAAGCATCTTTTTTAAAGAGAAAATAAGGGATTTTTTAAAAATAGTTCTCTCAAGTTTGCATATACACTTTGGTTGGGCACATGCCTGGGCTTGAACAGATCTGAAAGTTCTGGGTTTTGAAAAATTGTCTTCAGTGTTTCCAAAACTGGAATATATGAAAATGTATCGGTTAAAACGACCTGATCATAAGTCCCAGTTGTTTTGTTTCTTCTGCTGTCAAATCTTGTGCCAAGAACCTTTTCAACAGGTTTTATCATTCCCCACGTTTCTTTGAAGTGTTTAATTCTTTTAGTTTCAGAATTTAAGGATGTGAATGGGTTTTCCAACTTTTGGAAAGATTGCTCTATTTTGTTCTTATTTTCAATGTCTTTTGGAGATAAGCACTGTAAGGCTGCATCTTTAGCTTGACTATGAATCTCAAAACACACTTCTTCCATGGAGGAAACAAAACTATTTAAAGAAGCTTCACTTAATCCAGCTGCTTTGAGTTGTGCAACAGCAGAGGCACAGATATCTAGAGTGCTCCTATTGGAATATCTCAAAAGTTCAGATGTTGGGGCTGTCTCATCCACATTAGCTATCGCCACCTCTCCTGCGCTGCTCAAATTAACAGCAGTGTCTACATCTTGGTCAATATACTTTGGTGTTTAAATACTTCCTAAAACCAGAAAATGTACCAAACACTTCATTATAGAAGAGAATCTTCAAACACTAACGAAGCAACCTCGCCCTAACTTCAGAGATACGAGGACTTTCCTTGACCTAGCCGACATCTATGCTGTACACTGTGGTTTGGATGACAGTGTACATGTTGTGGAGCATGCTGTTGTAAGATGTGCCATACACAAAATGAGCCTTAAACAGTTCATCAAAGGTACCAAGAGAAGATGTTGACCTGCAAGGTATGGCATCCTTGTCAAGAATGATGAAAAACTGGTGGATTGTGTTCTTCTTAACGCCAACAGCCAGGATATAGGGTTGAGCTTGACTGGTGATGGCATCGAGATGCTCTTGAATGTTTGTCCCAGTCTGCAAATACCAACACAGAATGCTTACAGTTAGACAGTTGTAATACACAAAACAAAAACAGAAAAAACGGAAAAATCGGAAAAAACAAAACCGACATGCGATTAATCATGATCAGGTGAATTATACAGTTAATTGTGAATAAAGGCTTTAATCATTGTCCAGCCCTAATTGTAAACATTTCTTTCTTAAAATCCTCCAAAAATACAAACCTTTTTGAAGACCACTAGATGCTTCTCTGCTTGGGATGCAGAAACCTTTCCTGGTCTCTTCCGACCCTGAGCAGAGGGTGGAATCAGGTGTAGCAGCAATAACACTGACGAAAGGTCACTGTCCCAACCTGTAACAATAATCGTGTTCAATTTCAACATCCTTAAGTTATGCAGACTATCAATAAAATTCAGTAGCTCTGCACTTAATTTCAAATTGAAATTCAAAGGTAACACCTCTCTTATGTTTGTGGACCGTGGAACACCTTGTGGGAACCTAATTTACTCATTTTGGGACATGGCTCACACATTTTAACCACTCAAGTGGGGTGTCGCAAAAAATGCAGGACATTAGTTTACTTCTCACATCTCAGAATGGCAGAAGTTGTGAGCCAAATATGCCACAAAGGATAATTCTATGAGACAGGTCTTTAGAAACAGCAGCAGACGGTTGAAACCCAGCGAAATTCAAATGTTAGCTCTGCACAGGCAGTATCATTTTTAAAATATATTCATTTGTTTTTTTATATCCTCATAAGATATACAAAAATTCACCATAGGATCAACACTTCAGTACTTTTGAAGTTTTGCCTAATATCCATCCATCCATCCATTATCAATACCGCTTATTCCCTCATGGGGTCGCGGGGGAACTGGCGCCTAACCCAGTGGTCAACGGGCGAGAGGCAGGGTACACCCTGGACAGTGTTTTGCCTAATATTTTCTCCTAAATTTATCACAGACCCAGCTTTTATTATGCTGTCATGTAAATATTAAAATAATTACAATGAAATATCTCTAATATATGAGAGCAAAAGAACAACAAGGGCTATCAACTTACCAAAGTCAACTTCAGTGCCGTTCTCAGGAGGATCAGCTGCCAACAAGAGTTCTTCAAGCTCACTTGTGGATGGAAGCTTTCTGCACTGTTGGATTATTTTCCTCTTGAACATGACTGGCCACCTCTCCAGAAGCTTGCTTGAGGTACCCTCTCCAAACATCAGAATGAAATCCTGTTCAACCTGCGATGGGGGTAATGTCAGGTGTCAATTTCAATTATCTGACAGGTAAAACAAAACAAAACAAAAAAAAGGGTGATATATAATTACCAAGCCTTTCTTTAAAACATGGAAACTCTGACAGTATGTTGCTTGACTGCTGGGGGTCAAGCACCATGTTGCGGCGATACTCAAACGTTAGTTTCATTTTCTTCTTGACGATGTCCTCATCCGCTGAATGTTTCATCAGTGAGATTGCTTCGTTGCACTCATCTTCAGTTAGGGCAATCTCTGGAACAAACTCAGACTCTCGTCTGACAGTTGGTCCTCCAGACATATTTTCACCAGAGGTTCCTTTGGCTGATTCTAAATAACATTGGGAAATACAGTATTAAACGTAAAGATATCAAAAACATTTCTAAAAACCCGGGCTACTTTTAAAGAGGTAGTCTACACAAAAGTAAAAGCTAAATTCACAACTTATGATTATTTCTATAATTTCATACATTGAAATGTTTCAAAATGCATGTCTAGTCTTTTGAATCGCCCAGAACTTGCCATGCCAGCCTGTAGACAAAGTCAGAGGAATTTAAGGGTGTAGTTAGACTTAAAGAAAAAAAACATTATTTTACTGAGAAGCATTGCGTGCAACCAATGCAGTAACCGGTCCTGCTATTGTTTCCAGGGTCTCTGTAGGTTTCAAAAAGCCAAATTTAAGATTTTTAAGAACATAATGAATACAATCTAAGACCCATTCCACAACCATACTGGGAAAGAAGTACAAAAAGGTTCAAGGAAATTTGGAGGCCTGGAATAACTTGTAAAGTATAGGATTTTTTCCACTGCTTTTTCACATTGCAAAACAAGATGCTTAACCTAACATGAAAAAACTGAACCTTCATACATCAAGACCTTTCAAAACGGTAGTCACTCATTTTATGAGATTTTACAATAATTTCAGACATTTTAGGCCTTAAAATGGTTGGATTTGAGAAGTTTAAAGAGTTTTTAAAGCTTTTTTGTTTCAGATTTTTTTCCCCATTACCTCCAAACGAGGATCGCCTATCTTTAGCGGTGCCTCTCTGAATAGTTTTAATCCTCCAGGCCAAGTACCCAGTTCCACTCTCCCCATCATAATAGTGCTCCTTGTAAGGTGAAAGCATAAACAAAAAGAGAGAAAGACATTCATTAATACCATTTAGAAGTGAAACAAGAGGCTAATTTATGATTCCATTTTTCTCAACACAGCATTTAACATTACTAAAAGCTTTTTTGTTTGCAACTCACATAGCCATTCTTAGAGAATGGATCACTGAGGTAGGGGAACAAGGTCACTATTCCTCTGGCGTACATTTCTTTCACCTGCCTGGGCGGAGATGTACTCCAAAGTTGAAGAAGAAAGGAGTTTGCAGTTATATTAACTGGATTTAATTTTGATTTCAAATTAATCTCCAAGCTAGATTCCAAACAAAAACACTGTTAGCAGATTACCCATTCTTTTCAGTCATGTCAGCTGCCAGCATGTTAACCATTTTCCGTCTGGTTTCATCTGTCAGGGACTTGGTTCGGCTGTATTCATTGATTACACGTTCCCCACCCGGTTTGTTGTTAAGAACTGATTCCACCAACTGGAAACACAACACAAAATAATTCAACAAATTAGGAATATGACGCAACTGGTAAAACACTGAAGAGAGAAACTCCCTCCAGACAGTGACATGGTCATGAGGATTAGAGAGGATTTGTTCATTTATACTTTGTGAATAACAAACATAAATTTAATTGCTTTAGACAGATCACTTAATGTGCACTTCATTTTTTACATTTTACTATAATAAAGGGCGAACAAAAAAACTCAAGCTCATGAGCTCAACAAGTTCTTCAAACCATGTAAATATCATAAATACTCTTACATGCTTAGCTTCTGCATCCAACCTATGGCGTTTTCTGGAGGGACTATCAGGAATGATGTCTGTATCCTCAGAGTCCCAAGAATTTTGGGATGATAGTTGGGACTGATCAAGAGAGGCTGCTTTTGAGACAGGTTCTAATCATGAATTGAGAAATGGAAATAACAAATTAACCATCTTCTAATAATCACAATATTTAGAAGACAACAGATCCTTTAAATAATATAGATTAGAGACAAACCTGAGTCATATTTGATGGTCAACACTCCAGTTGAGGGATTCATTACCACATCCTCAAAAACATCGTCATCCAATTCAGTCCCTGAACTGTCGACAACCTTCACACCTTCTGTTACAGCTGGGATACCAAACTTTGCAAATGCTACAAAATGGACACAACAGCTTGTAAAAACAGGAAAATCTTTCCTTATACAATTTTCCTACTGCCTTAATCTTAACTTTTAAGGGTGTGACTAGAAAAGGGAACAGAAAAGTTGTTGATCAATTCCAAAGCTAGTTTATATGACCTTATAATTTTCCATCATTCTGCAATATTACAATATATCAATCTAAAACAGTTAAATCTAGTGATTATTAGCATTTAAAGATCCTTGTGCAAATCTTAATTCCACAATATCAGTTTCTTACCTGCAATCAAAAATTCTTTTAGATCTGGCTCTGATATTCTAACAAACTTTTGGACATCATCAAGTTTTGTTTTAAGCAGCATGTTCCCTGCTGAAAAAACAAAAGAAAATTAGCATAGTTCATGGTTAACATTTATGTGCTAATTATTACAATAAAAAACTATATACACGACATTTTCTCAAATTTGAGGTACATAAGAATCTCATGAACAGGCCAGAAGCAAGGCCAACTTTTATGAGGTGAATACTGTCCAATAAAGTATAATTATTTTTTATAATAGTAATAGTAATAATTATACTTAATAAGCAATTAAATGGTGATTAATTGCTTATTTCAATATTCAACTCAATAAAAATTGCGAATTAATGTTACATTTGATCTTTCTTTCCCTGAAAGTGTAAAAGCCTATTTAGGCATTTTAATATGCGATTTTGCAATAAATTACTTTAAAAAATCATACTTGTGAAAAAAATATTTTATTTTGTGTTTTAAAATACTCCAATCAGAATTGGAATGAAAACATGCTGTTGCCATAAAATGTTAAACTCTGGCCAATAATGGCTTGGCTTCGACGTTTTGTTTTTTTTCTTCTTGGCTTTGAAGTTTGAACAGGGTTGGGTACGCTATCATTAGCGGTAGCCATGACACAAGGAGGGAAACTTTGAATCTCGAGCCATATCTCCAACACATTTAAATGACAATGTCTATCAATACAACCTGCAATGATAACAAATACTTCTTCATTTTTTACAGCATTAGTGATTCGTACTTTGTACCCGTTAATGCGAAACCAACATTGTCCAGAAGCACGAACTTTAGCTAGCTAGCTAGCCAACTCCATACCTACCTACATATTCGCAATATTCGCTATTTTACAATAATATTTTACACTGCAAATGAATGCACAAGCAAGCACCTAGGCTATAATAACAAATTAAATTGACATAACTCTTGATAGCTTGACTGCAATTTAATGTTGGGGTTAATTAGTTAGCTTAATGCTACTCGCACGTAGACTTGACATTCACTCGGATACTAGACATTAGCCTTCTGAAATTCAGCATTCAGTTGACAATGATAAACAGTATTCGTAAAAATTCAGTGTCTGTTGAAAGAACAAATTATGCGTATGATAGTCAATAGGATAAACTTACCGGAGTCGCTTGACATGAAGAATGAAGAAATTTGCTGGCTGAAAATTCTGTTAGACCGAGGAGGTGGGCGGAGCTTTCCAGAATACGTTTTACACCGCCAATTTTAACAACGTATATTTTCACCAACACTGGGTAGTAACTTACTCCAGCTGTTGTTGTAATAACTCTGAAAGAGTCAGAGTACTTTGACACTGCATATTTAACACTGTAGAATTTACTGTGTATGTACTGCAATGTCCAATGATCTACCTGTGTTTAATAAAATTTGCCATATTATAATACATGAACAGCAGGCATTCATAATAGGCTGTACTGCCAACACCTTGTACTTTGATGAACACTTTCATGCATACCGTATTGAAGAAAAAAATAATGAACATGTTATTATTTGCATTGACAAGCTCACCTATGTCAGACCTTTTGATAGGCAATATTCTAATGAAAGTGAGAACATATATATTGTTCCACATTGTTACATGTTTTGAAAAATATTTTCTAATTGTGGTGCACTTTTGAAATAAATATTTTCTGAAAAAAAAAAAACATTGCTTCTTTATTTATTTATTTTTCCCAAGGGATTTTTATATGTTCAGAAAAGTAAATTCTTCAGCATTTAGTATTAGAGAATAACTCCTATGTAGTTAGAGAAAACATTCCATGAGAGTGTTAATATTACAATTCTAACACCTAGTTGGTGTAATTAAGTGTTAAATGATCAACTCCAGAAAGATTTATTATTTAACACTAAATATGAGTTACGGTGCCAACACTCCAAAAAGAGTCAAATTAACTCTCTCTGGTGTGGACCCATATAGACACTTCAAGAGTGTTAAAATCAAATCTGACAGTGTTGATTTGAGCATGTTGGATTTGCTGTGGTTGTACTATGATGATTTTGAAACGGCAAATCCACTGGGACCAAAAAGGGGTTCACATAAACTTGGCTGTATTTATTTTATTTTAAGAAACTTACCAGCTAAACTAAATTCAGTTTTGATGAACATTCATCTTGTTTCTCTTTTTCATGCTGAGGACTTAAAGAAGTATGGTTTTGGTCCCATCTTGGAACCTCTTATTAATGACTTGAAATGTCTTGAGACGGAAGGTGTTAAGGTACCATTTTCTGACGTACCATTAAGAGGTTCAGTTGTTCAGGTTACTGTTTATAATTTGGCATTGCATAGCCTTTTTGGTTTTGTTGAATCATTCAGTGCAACTTAATGTTGTCGGTTTTGTTTAACTGATAAAACAAAGTTTCAGTCATTGTTCAGTGAGGATAACCAAGACCTAATTTTTCGCACTAAAGACCTCTATTCAGAACATTGCAATGCCCTGGCACAAAATCCCACTCTTGTACATTCTTTTGGTGTAAAAAGAGA